ATACAATTGCCTTTAATTCATAAGCGTTAAAAGTTTTAAAATTTAGGGGTGTTACAATAAGGGAGTAACAGGCTTGACTGGGCTCGAACCATGTTCTCGCTGCCACCGATTAAATTCCTGTCGTACCTGATCCAACAGTCCCTTGGCTTCACTTTGCATCGTGTTCCGCACGCCTTCTTGGACTCCACGCCGTCTCGGAGCATGTGAAATACTAACTTCTGATGAATCTCCCCGACTAACGGTTCGCATTGGCGAGTCGACCGACATGCGGTCGTCTATCTTGAGGGCCCAAGCGTTGGTGCGTCGCCGGTCTGAGCTTCTCGAAGGCACTAGCTCTCGGCATCGGTGGCTCTACCCCCTCACGTCCTGGCATTCGAAATCCCGTTTGCTGCTTCCTATGTTCTTGCGGTTGCTGTTGCCTATCTTCTTGAGGGCCCCGCGAGCCCAACCTCGAGCGAGCCGAGTGGCGAGTCTGGTGACCAGGCTGTTGCTCTGGCTCACTCTGTGAACCTGCTGAATTTGGAGGGGCATGATTGGGAAATGTGTGCCCAGGGGCGTACGTGGGTGGCGGAAAGATACCTGTGGGTTGTACATACGCGCCGGGAAGGTAATAGAACAGAGTCCCTGGCCAAAATCCACAGGGCGGCCCTTGGATTGGTGGCGGATATCCATATGGAAGATATGGTTGTGCAGAGGATTACGGTGCATGTTGGATATAAGCGATCGGGTCAGCCGCGGTCTGGCGACCTGGAGAAAGATTGAGGTCGACAGGTTGTCCTCGAAGCGTATGATGTTCAGAGGAACTGATCTCCTCTTCTTCTTGGTTGTACATGAATGGATACATGGAAAAAGACTGTACTGCGTCACTCGTGACTTGTTGTACCGGTCCCCACAGACGGCGCCAAAATGATAGTGCTAATACACGATACGACCAACACTAATGTACAGTTTGACCGGGAGACTTGATATGACAATGCCCTATCTATTGACTGGGAAGCTCTCGATGATCTCCTAGCCCACCGTCCAAAAGTCCCCCTTCCTTATTCCTCAACTGGTATTTATAAGTGACTAATTGTTCGGCATGCCAGCCACGTATTTCACACGTGTCCTTACCGGGGGATTGCTTCCTTGTCGTCTTCTCGCAATGACACGTGTCTATGATAAAGAGAAAGAACGCTTAACCGGCAAAGGTTAACCAATCGGCTGAACACTCGTTCGGGAGAACGGTCGGAGCTCGAGGGCGGTTGACTGTTTCCCGAGCGAAAGGCTCTCCAAAGCACCGAGTGGAGTCTTAAGTTCTAGCCATCGGTCGGTTGCCAATCGGATCCCGATCGAGGTATGGGTATTTACCTATCAGGTATCACTACTATTACCATACAACATAATTTCTTTGAAATGCTTGTATGATTTAGGGAGAGAGACAAGCAATAAAACAGCACGATCCTCATCTTCAATTATGACATCAATATTCTCCAAGTCCAATAAAATAGAATTGAATTCATCATCCAAGTGAGACTTAATAGAAGTACCTTCCATCATACGGATTGTGTATAGACGCTCCTTCAGGCGCAGCATATTCGCCAGAGATTTGACCATGTAAAGCGTATGCAACTTGGACCATAATAGGGAAAATATTTTAATGACAAAATATAAATATAATAATGACAAAATAAGGAATGAATGGGAATATATATATATATATATATATATATATATATATATATATATATATATATATATATATATATATATATATATATATATATATATATATATATATAATTGCACTCTGGTGCTAATGGAGCGTCCAGGTGCAAATATGCGAATGGCTGATATCCGTCCACGTGTCCAGATCTAATGGATGAGAAAATTAAACACTGATTTAAAAAAAATGTGGTGGCGTTTTTGTTAATAATTGAACATCGAAGTGCAAGTAAAATGTATTACAAGTGCATGTAAAATATATTATAGGTGCAAGTAAAATTTACACTGAACATCAATATTAAGTGCACCTATAGTTATAAGTAGTTGCACCTATACTTATAAGTAGTTGCACCTAGATGCATGAATGTTTGCGGGTGGTTTTCACGGGTACTACTACGCGCTGAACTCCCCGCAAGAAAAAAAACGATGCCAAACAGAACGAACTCAGATCAATGAATGTTAACAAGGAAAAATTACATGCACTTGCAGGCAAAAGTAGGTGCACTTGTAGGTGAAAGTAGGTGCACCCGATCAATGAATGCAGGCAAAAACTACATGCAATTGCAGGCGAAATTAGGTGCACTTGTAGGTGAAAGTAGGTGCACCTGATCAATGAATGCTGACACGTGGCACGCGCTGATTGGTTCGCATTTCTCTCCTAGGCACCTATTCGCACATGAACGCGACTCTATATATATATATATATATATATATATATATATATATATATATATATATATATATATACACACACACTACGTGAGAAGAGAAAACAAGAAAGCAAATGAATTCAATTGATTGATGTGCAATTAATTACAAAGCTAAGCTAGATGTTTATACAATCAAAAATGAGACAAATGCGGAGGATTAGCCCGAATGTAATAACATGAAATGGAGAATGCATTGCTACGTGGGGAGACGTGCGGCAGGTAGTAAAGTATGTACTTTGTGCATGAAGTAAAGAAAATGCGTTTATGAATGAATTTTAGCCACAAAATTATTATGCATGTCTTAATAGTTGGAGGTTAGTGGGTTTACGTTTATTGCCACATATTAAATATTTAACGTGGATTATGTGCTTACATTAGGTCCTAGTCCGATGTCAGTGTATCCAATGACATGTATCAGATTGTTGGCAAAGAAGTCTTGCATGATTTTGTTGTGCCACTTTGTACCGCGTGACGACTCTAGTGATGCACGTGGGATCAAATTATTGAAGTTTAAATTAATATTGATTTTGGGTAATGCCTCACAAAAGATTAGGTCCTTCTTTTAATAAAAAAAATTGAAAAAAAAAAAAAATACTACGCGGCTATATATGCCTCCAGCTATTCTCATATAGCCGCCTAGTTAGAATTTATAGTACACCAAATGTTCAAATCTGTATATTGGAATGATAAGGACACTATTTTGTAATATAGCATATAGTGTTTTTTTTTTTTTTTTTTTTTTTTTGGTTTGATCTCATAACCTCCCACATGGGAGAGGCCACTACATGTGATCTGAGCCACAAGGTGCTTGCCAAATAGTTATTATAAGTGTTTGATTAATCAAATTTTTTTTATAATAACTTATTGTTCCAAAATACTAAAATTCAAAAAGATACTCAAAACAGCTTTTTTGAGAAAATAAATTATATTCTCCAAAACACCCCAAATATTATTATAGGTTAAAATAGCACAATACACTCATACCATTAAAAGGTCATTTAAATGTAATTAGCTACTAGCTAACAAATAATTTACCAAACACATTTCTATAACCTACTAATGCCATCATCTAATCAAACCTGCAAATCAATCATCTAATTAAACCTACAAATCCAATCCGCTACCAGCGATCAGTTATGTCAATCAGCTATTAACTATTTGCCAAACACCCCTAAGATCTTTTGGAACTGTGACATAATACGTAGTTTATGCTAAACTTGAGTTGCGCATCAATGGCATCATATCATGGATAGAAGTATATCAGCAAAACTTGGAGGATCTATGCTATACTAGTACCTAGCTTTAAAGAATTGGCAAAAACAACTATTTTCTAAAGCTGTTGTCGTTGAAGTATTATCTATTTTTAAAATATTAAATTTCGGTTTAAGATAATACACTAAAGACAACATATTTAAAGACAACGATATTTAAAACCCATATATGGGCTCTGTTTGGCAGAGCTTATTTAGGAGCTTATAGCTTATTTTAACATACTAATAAGCTATAAGCTCTGTTTGGTAATGTTTCCAAAATAAGCTCATAGCTTAAAATAAGAGCTTATTTTGGAACGCTACTTTAGGTAGCGTTTTCAAAATAAGCTCATAGCTTCCTAACTTTTTTTCCATTTTTATCCTTATTATTTTAAAGAAATGACATAATTTACCCTTCCCAATTAAAACTATTTTCTCTTCTCCTTTATCTGCAACTTTCACCTCAAATATTATTATTATTATTTATTATTATTATTATTATTAGATTTGCAACAATATTGTTACTTCATTATGAGATACTAGATCATGATTATGCTAATAGTTTTATTTCAAAATGTTAATTTTTTTAAAAACAAAATATTAAATTTTAATAGGTAAACAAACTAATTTAAATTTTATGAAGATGTCTTTTTTAGTCTTTTTACATTTATCAGCTTATCAAAAAGCTAATTTTACCAAACACTTTCAATCATAACAGCTAGCTTAACAACTCTTCAGTTTTCAACTCCGAGCTTATAGTTTTTCAGCTTTCAGCTCCTTTTCTGCTTTCAGCTCCTAGCTTCTAGCTTTTCAGCTAGGTTTGCCAAACAGAGCCATGATAGTTGAAATTATGTCTATTTATAATATCATATTTCGCGCTGAAAGACAACACATCAACGACAACGGATTGGTTAAAACCATTATCTTTGAAAATAAATATAATATGATCTCAAAAATAATAACAATTTTTTAAAGTCGTTAAAGTATTGTCTCTTTATAAAATAACGAATTTTGTTTAAAGACATAAAGGGTATGGTTTCACAATCATTCACATCTACTCAACACAAAATTGTAAAGTAATACTGAAGTTGACTCCATTCTTGAGTTAATTTGTGATGTATTTAATTAGAGTTTTTATTTGAGCGCTGTCACAATCATATCATTCACTTTACTAGACCGAGGTCGATGTATCCAATGATTTGTATCTGATTGTTGGCAAAGGAATTTCGCATGATTTTGTTGTTCCACTTTGTACCGCGTGACTCTCGTGGGAGTCGTGGGTTTATATATATGCCACTTTGTACCGCGTGAAGTTGAAATTAATATTGTAAGCCTATCCATTATATATATTTTGGAACTGCTACAGAATAAGTAGTTTACACTAAACTTGAGTTGGGCATCATATCATGGATAGAAGTATATTAGCTAAACTTGGAGGATCTATGCTAGTACCTAGCGTTAAAGAATTGGCCAAAGAATCGCCGGAAACCGTTCCTCCACGATACCTTCGTCATGACCTGGACCCTCCGGCAGCGGCGCAGAAAGAAATTCCGGTGATCAACATGGCAAACTTGCTCCAAGGAGAATGCGATGATGAGCTGAAGAAGCTGGATTTTGCATGCAAAGAATGGGGGTTTTTTCAGGTATACCAACCACCTATTACCAACTAAGCCACTTTAATATTTTGTAACTATTTTCTATGGAAAATACTAAGTGGACTCTCATTCTCTACTCTCATACTCAAAATTCTGATTTAAACACTTCTACTGAGACCCACATGAGAAAAGTAGCTTATTAATGCCTGTCACAGAGAGTAAAATTATGGAAGTATATGTAATAGAATTCTAGGGGTGGGATGGAGGAGGGGGGCAACTGCTGCTCGCCTCTGGTTGCGTCCCTATGTGTAGATTGGTTTCTAAGTAACCATCTTTGCTTTTAAACTAGATGTTGAGAATACTAATCTGTTGTTTTCTGTTCTTTAATTTCTCTAGTTTTTTGAAAATTGAAAAAGATTTTCAATTAGTAACCAAGATCTAAATATTTGTGTTACTATACGTTGCAGCTAATAAACCATGGAGTGAGTTCTTCATTGATTGAAAAAGTGAAAACTGATACAAAAGATTTCCTCAATCTCCCAATGGAAGAGAAGAAGAAGTTTTGGCAAGAGGCTGGGGATCTTCAAGGCTTCGGACAAGCTTTTGTGCATTCTGATGAGCAAAAACTTGACTGGTGTGACATGTTTTATATCATCACTTCCCCAACTTACTTGAGGAAACCAAATCTATTCCCAAATATCCCTTTGCCATTCAGGTCTGATCCGTGTGACTGTGTTTTCTGATCCCCCCTTAGCTTCTCAGAGTCTTTTATTAAGCTAGAAATAATTGTGAGTTACATGCATGCAGAGAAACAATGGAAATATATGCAGAGGAACTGAGAAATCTGGCCCTAACAATCATTGATTACTTAGCAAAAGCTCTGGGGATTGATCAGGAACATGTACGAGGATTGTTCGAGGAAGGGATGCAGTCTATGAGGATGAATCAATATCCGCGTTGTCCCCAACCCGACAATGTCATAGGACTTTATCCTCACTCAGATGCTGTCGGGCTTACAATCCTGCTCCAACTCAATGAAATGGAAGGCCTCCAGATCAAGAAAGAAGGCATGTGGATTCCTGTTAAACCCATCCATGGCGCCTTCGTCATCAACATCGGGGATATTCTAGAGGTTATTCACGAATTCGATCAAATATTATTTTCAGGACTGGAAATCAATGAAAGATTATTTAGTTTTCTTTGGTTTATTTATTTGCAGATACTGACAAATGGAATTTACAAAAGTGTTGAGCATCGAGCAGTAGTAAACTCGGAAAAGGAAAGGCTTTCGGTTGGGACATTTCTGAGCCCCAGACTTGAGGCAGAATTGGGTCCTGTTCCAAGTTTGATCAACCCTCAAAATCCAGCCAAGTTCAGGAACGTGGGAGTTGCAGATTATTACAGAGGATTCTATAGTCGAAAGCTGGATAGTAAATCTTATAGAGATGTTATGAGGATCCAAACGGAAGAATGTCCTCAATCTGTTGATGGAATGGCTTAAGAGGAAAACAAAATAGTGGAAATGTATGCAGGTGAATTGCCATTAATAGAGCAACGAATAAGAGGGGCCATTTAGCTATGCTGCAAAATGATATTAAGCTATCTAACAAAAAAAAAATTTGCAATTCACTCATTGGACGAGCATTTTTAGCCGGTTGAGTAACTTGGTTCCTGTTACCAAGACAATGTGGATGTGTTTATGAATCATGCTACATACCTATACATTTACAACTTAAATATATAGCCACTCTATGATTTGACAATTGCATATTTGTGATGTGATATATAATTGCATGTCTCGATAGTTATTACACGTTTGTGATTTGACACTTTGCCACATTAAAAAGTGGGTGTTTGTCCATGACAATTGTAGGTAGGGATGTCAATCTTAACTCGAAATTGATGTATTGGTTCGATTAAACTGATATACTTTAAGATTATGGCTAAAATATTTTAGTCTAACAAATTTGAAACTGATAAGCTCAGTGCAAAATTCATTTGCAGTAACGTTTGGTTGAAGAGAATCAAAATATGCTTTTGCCTTAAAAAGTATTGTCTTTTTTTTTTTTTTTTTTACTTTATTATTGGTCTTTTATTATTTCGTCTCTCTTAATCATTTTGAAAAAAATTAATTAGCTATAAAATTATTTTTGTTCCTTAAGCATTATTTACATGAATTTATAAAGGAAAATATATAGAATTAATTTCAGATTTTGTCCTCTGGTTATCACTCATTTTTAATTTTTGTCATTGACTTTTAAAGTTAGCGAATTTAGTCATTGCGTATTGAATCATTTTCAATTGTAATTCATTGTACGCTTCCATGTACGAACGGTTAAAATTGAGGGTGAAATTATTACTACTATAGTAAAAAAATTAGAGCTTTATTTCCTACATGTGAGAAACAATTGGTGCAATGATTATGACTTTCCAATTTTACTCTCAATGTTAATGATTCACACATGAAAAAAGTTAATGGTGGATTACAATTAGAAATGATTCAATACTTAAGGACTAAATCTGATAGCTTTAAAAGTCAATTACTAAATTAAAAATAATTCAATACTTAAAGAGAGTTTCAGTTTGAAAAGTCGTCTATAATTCATTGAGTGGTCTTGTCTGGAGGGGTCCGGTGGTCCGATCGTATAGTTGAACGGATCTCCTCTTCCTCTGGGGTTTTCCAGATCATCTCCATATCCACGCCATTCCACGCATAGAAGAACATATGGCTCCGCCGAAATATAGCGCTTTGTGTATTCCTCATTTTTATCCCCATGCATGTGATACCACGTGCATACAGCTGATCCCTTCCATATTTGCCATATTTGCATGCAGCAAAGAGTTTAATTTCCATGTATACCCGTCGTGCCTTCGAAAAATGGTAACTAAGATTTATCAAAACTTTGCCACGCAACAGATGGGCCGGGCAGGATTTCCAATCCTAGCAGGAAATGGAGGGAAGCGGATACTCAATTAAAAGTCAGTAAATAGAATTCTACCCAATGTAAAAATAAAAAACAGGTGTATATTTCTTGTGTGGCAAATTATATTCTGCCGAGTTTATGTGTATTATGTTAAGAATTTATGTATATTTGTAGACACTTAAATTTTGATAAATATGGATTATTTATCAATATTAGTATATTTGAATATATTTAAAATATTTTGGATAATATTGATATTATCTAATTTGTTTAATTAGATAATATCAAAAGAGTTTGACCTTATCGAAACTCTTTTATCCAACTATAAATAGGAGCTCTCATTTCTATGTAATTAGACAAATCCAAGGAAAAATCATGTAAACATCTAGAAATATATATTATTCAGATATCACAATGAAAATGTGATCCTGAAGGTAAAAGCCCCTCCTCCAATCTAATCATGTCTGTTGATCCAAACCTTCATTGAAGATCAAGCCATTTGAACCCGGAGGCCCTTCAAGAAGAACAAGCTAAGCTATATATACAAGCCCTTCTTTGAAGATCAAGCCACTTGAAACCCGGAGCCTCTTCAATGGTGGAGTGTTCAAGACATCAAATTGAAGAATCAGAGGACCATCCAGATACTTGTACCCACACCGCATTTGATACTCAATGTAAACTAGAATTTTGAATATTAATATATTTATTCAATTTTCTTTGTTTACAAATTGGCACGCCCAGTGGGACAGCTCTGCCTCTCATCTCTTCATAGGCACTTTCAACCGGTATGGGGGCAAACCCCATATGAAATTTGAAATGGAGGAGGCTAAATGATACTCCTTGGCACGAATTGAAAAGGCCTCATATCTTTCAAGGCTCCTTGGCACGAGTTGAAACAGTCTTATATCTTTAAGTTCTAGTGTCGAGACTTTCTTGCACTACATGCTTTCGAGTGTTATATGCTCTCAAGTGGCATACAAGCAAGTCTCGAGGGGCATTTGCAGACACTTAAATTTTGATAAATATGGATTATTTATCAATATTAGTATATTTGAATATATTTAAAATATTTTGGATAATATTGATATTATCTAATTCGTTTAATTAGATAATATCAAAAGAGTTTGAGCTTATCAAAACTCTTTTATCCAACTATAAATAGGAGCTCTCATTTCTATGTAATCAGACAAATCCAAGGAAAAATCATGTAAACATCTAGAAATATATATTATTCAGAGATCACAATGAAAATGTGATCCTGAAGGTAAAAACCCCTCCTCCAATCTAATCATGCCTGTTGATCCAAACCTTCATTGAAGATCAAGCCATTTGAACCCGGAGGCCCTTCAAGAAGAACAAACTAAGCTATATATACAAGCCCTTCTTTGAAGATCAAGCCTCTTGAAACCCGGAGGCCCTTCAATGGTGGAGTGTTCAAGACATCAAATTGAAGAATCAGAGAACCATCCAGAGACTTGTACCCACACCGCATTTGATACTCAATGTAAACTAGAATTTTGAATATTAATATATTTATTCAATTTTCTTTGTTTACAATATTATATTAAGAGTTTATGTGTATCACGTTAAGAGTTCATGTGTATTATGTTAAGAGTTAAGAGTTTATGTGTATTCTACTATACCATTATGTACATACGAAATAAGAGAGTTTTAGGGCACAATGCATTGTGCGCCCTGGTGCACGATATAATTGATCTCGTGTTATGTGTTTCTCACTGCTGGAAATTATGAAATTTCTGACCACCTGAAAGTGATCTTAAATCAAGTTTGAAAGCAAAAAGTGGTCGGAAATAGCAACAAAGGTTTTTCCGAATACCAAAAGTGGTCGGAACAAGGCTTCCGACTTGATTTAATATCACTTTCATGTGATCGGAAATTCCATAATTTTCAGCAGTGTCTGTACGCCTCACATTACGCAATTCAGTATATTAAACGTAAGAATTTGTTAATACCTAAAATAAAATAAATTTTTTATTAAAATATTAAAAATGAAAAGTTACGGAATCTATTAAAGATTAAACATCAAACCATATCATTTTGATCTAGAGTCCACAATGTTATGTAGATCCTGTCCCACGATATAAATTGCCGCAACTGATGGGCATGCTCACCCAATGTATTTCTCATAATTGTGCCTTTAATTTGGCACGCAGACCATGCTTATTCCAATATCTAATGGGGAATCCAATTTGGGTACCCAATATTCCTACTTTTTGCCACGTACATACGTGTATGCCAAACTTGCATTGTTTTAAAATTGCTTGAAGATGGTGACACGGCATTGTCATAATTTTGGATGTGTTAGGTTAATGGGTTTACACACTAGTAATAATAATTAAAGTTATAATTAGTGTTTGCTTGAAGATTTTTTTTTTCTTGTTCATATTGGTATTTTGGATGTCATTATATTACGATCACTTTTTTTTTTTTTTTTTTTTTTTTTTTTTTTTTGTATTTTTAAAATTTGTATTCCCATTATATAGTCATACATAACCAAACATCAATATTGGTAATCATTCCAAATCTACATTACTACTGTAACACCCCGTGTTACGACCCCTAAAACCAATTAATTAACTAACCCATAGCCCAAGAGAAAGAATAAATTATAACAATAAATTAGGGAAAAAGGCCCACCATAGTCCGTCGGCCCTCATCCCTAAACCCAACTCCTAGTCCTAAAAGGATTAGACCCTAAATAAGACCCTTAGATATATAAATAGGGAACCTAGGAGGCACCTAGAATTCCCACCACAATAATCTCTCACCATCCAAAGAGTTCCAAGAATTCCCTTAGGAGAAATCAAGAAAGCATAAAGAAAGATCATTCATAGCCAAGGAATTAATTAAGGCTAATAGGTAACCCATGTCTCAACAAAACCTATTTTCATAGCTATGCTTCCCCTCTTAGGATTTTCCCATATTATTGTGTATTGATGATCTGTGATATTATTATTGATGATTGGTGTGATGATTCCATGGGTGATCACGATGATCTTGATGATGAGAGGTTCTTGATAATTATGGTGTTCTTGATGATTATGTGGCGTTCTTGATGATTATATGATATTCTTGATAATTGTATGATGTTCTTGATGTTTATGTGGTATTCTTACCGAATCTTGATATTAGAAGATGAATTATGTTCTTGTTGATTTAAAAGTGATTAGAACCCTAGGTTGTATCGGATGATATTATTCTTGTTGTATTGGGTGGGAATTCACATGTTGGGTGTTAATTATGTTTAGAAAAGAATGATAGGTTATGTGCCGTATGTTCTTACTTTTGGATCCGTTAATTGTTTACGTGTTGTCGTCAATTGCATTTGAAAGTGTCTAAGCATGGTTTCGGGTTCCACAATGGTTCCCGGGGCGTTTTCTGTGATGAAAGAGTCAGTGGGGGTTAGGTGGGGGTAGGGGACCCGCCACCTACCCGCGGCCAATTCGGGCAACGCCGGCGGGCGGGCAGCTTACCGGCAAGAACCAGGGTTCAACTGGGAAAGCCTCAAGGCACGGCTACGAGAACGATTCTATCCGACACACGTAAAGCCATCCATGTACGAAGAGTTTCTCCATCTGAAACAGGGGACAGCCACCGTCATGGAATACCATAAATGATTCCTCGAACTAGCACGCTTCGCACCAGAACTAGACCCCACCGAGGTAACCAAAATAGAAAGATTCATACCGGGCCTCAACTTCGAAGCCCGAAAGGCACTAGTGGTAAGCAGGCCTCGG